CTTCTTTTTCACCTTTATCCCTTGGAAAACTTCTCTCTCGTTCTGGTGGTTACTCTCACTTTTCCTACTGACTACGAAGGCAATGAAATCATCTCTCTCTCTGCCCCACCTTAAGGTATGTCTACACTATAAACTTAAGTCGACCTATGTTAGGTCAACTTGCAACCACCACAGTAACTGCTGCAGTGGTTCATGTCCACACTACCCTCCTCCTTTCAGTGGTGCACGTCCTCGGTGGGAGCACTTTCGCTAACTGAACAGAGGGATGGGGGGGAGGGGCCAAGAGGCTCTCAGCTCTGCACGCAGCTCCTTACCGGGAGCTCTTTGCCCAGGTCTGGTCAGTTGCTGGACTCCCAGTGGGGAGCCCGGAAAGCCTCCGTGTAGCCGGGAGCCAGGATGCAGTCAGGAGCCTTGTTGCTGCTGCCCAGGCTCCTGGCGGGGAGCAGGGAGCCTTGGTACAGCCATGGGGAGGACGGGGAGCAGCCCGGTGGGGAGCGGGGAACCCGGGCAACAGGCCGGCTGGGAGCTGGGAGCAGCCAGACTCTACGTGGAGCCCCCGCCCGCCCCAGGGTGACAGCCCAGCTTTCTTGTCAATTTCACAGCTCCTGCATGGAGCCATAAAATTGACAAGAATGAGAGCCAACAGCTGATGTAAGTAACCCAGTAGACACTGCCTCACCCTAGCTACACTGACATAAGCCCTACGCCTGTCATGGAGGTGGAGTTAGGATGTTGGTAGGGCACTTACATCGACAGGAGCAAGGCTGTAGTGTGTCGTAGTGGGGTGGCCACCTGCTCCTGCCCTGAAGGGCTTAAAACAGCCCTGGGAGAGGGCTGTGGTAGGGGAAAACCTGGGCTGATTGGGGAAGTAGCCACAGCTGGGCCACGCCCCAATCAGGCCACAGCTGGCCCTATAAGGAGGCTGTGGGCCAGGAGCACAGGCAGTCTCTCTCTAGACGCAGAGAGAGAAGGGCCTGGCTGCCTGGGACTTGAGTAAGGTACTGGAGTGGAGCAGTGCTGGGGAATAGGGCAAGGGAACCAGGGAGCTCCCACCTGGAAAACGCCCAGGCTGCAGGCCTAGCCAAAGGCCTGCAACCCCAGTACCTTTTCAGAGGTGCAGCCTGGGGGTAGGTGGAGGCAGCAGGTTCAAACCCCCCTTGCCAATGATGAGTGATATGGACTGCAGTCTGCCCCAGAGTGTGGGGGCTAGATGAGGACTGGCAGTGAACACTGAGGCAAGGTGGGGACAGAGGGTGGGAATTCCCTTGGGAGGAGAGCCCAGAGAGTGGGGGTACTGCCAGGGGGCAGCACCCAAGGGAGAGGGGCACCGGGGTCCGAGAGGGATAGGGGGCAGCAACAGGGGAAATTGACCTGCAGAGGGCGCTCCAACGGCTGGAACACTAGTTCCCTGGGAGACCAGCAGGGGCCGCCACAGGGGCGAGTCCCGCATCGCTACATGTGTACACTTACATAGTTAGGTCAACCTAAGCTGCCTTACATTGACCAAACTCTGTAGTGCAGACTAAGCCTTAGTGTTTATACTGTGCCCATCATTGTGGTATCCAGGCACCTCACAAAATTACAAAGTATGCCTGTGACAAAATAATTCTCATACTTGCTCTGTCTTCTAGTCAGCAGGGGTGAGATTTGGTGTAGGAGGGGGATGATCTCTGAGTGTGTTATTGGGGGACAGCAAGATTGGAGAAGTGCATTTGCATTTTGTTCTGATCCTGAGTGATTTCCAGGTTCATCAGCCAGAGTCCGAGAAAGCTCCATCTCCTGTATGCACGAGGCTCCCTCCCAGGGGAGAGTTTTGCTCCAGTGGAATTGAGCTGTCGTGGGGAGTGATGACAACGCCTGGCAAGGTGTTCAGTCCCCTCAGGTAACTTGGGTGCCATAGACAACTTTGAAGATAGAAAACAACCACCTGCAATTGAGACAGTACTCCACAGGCAGTCCATGCTGAGCGCTGGAGCCATGTGTTCTTGGTGGCCTGTGCTGCTCAGCTGAGGGGGGGCTGTGTTCTGACCCAAGCTTCCCTCACCAACTGATGTTGGGCCCTCCCTCCCCTTGTCTCTCTAATAACCTGAGTCTGACATAGCCACCACTCTGCATACAACAATAGAAGACAGCAAATTTTACCTTTATTTATTTGGCAGTTTAGCTCAGTCTCCCTCTTAGGTACTGAAAACTACAACAGTAACAAGAAAGTCAAAGAGGAAACATCACAAAGATTCAAAAGCTGTGTGGAGCAAAGGCAGGGGGAGGAAGATGCACCAGAAAGCAAATTTTGGCTATGTCTGGGCTGGCCACATTCATAACCCTCCATAAGCACCAAGGCCATTCAGCAGGAGATCAGCTGGGCTAACTGTCCTTCGAGTGAATGCAACGGCATTCTAAGCCCCTCGGCTACATTGTGAAGGCTCAGTCACTTATCTGCCCAGAAGGGGGCGGACCTGGTTTAGTGATGTAGTTACTCCTCAAATTCATGCTCACAGGTGAGAGAGGTTCTTTTTCCTCGATGAATATGCAGTGACAGCACATTCTCAAACCAGGACCAATGAGACCTGACCTGTAGGGTCAGAACAGCCTCAGAGAGAAAAGCAGCAAGACAACCCTTGTCCACAAGAAGCTGCTTGTGCTGAACCTTACACATTTAACCAACAATGCTGGAGGGCCAGATCAGAACTACTTCCAGCAGCAGCCTCCCATGGGGTGACCTCTAAAATTGATCTCCAACTTCCGTACAGTCACAGAACCGGAGGTATTAGGTTGTAAAGGAGCAATACCCCTGCACTAAAATAAGAGTGAACAGACATCGTATCTCAAGTACCCAGCCTTGTGCACTTTGCTAGCTGGGGGAGAATCTAACTGAGATACCAGACCTGGATACAATTGGGGGACAGGCCCCTCCCTGGGACTCGCCGCAGAAGTGGGGGCGCTGGACCGATCCACCTTTTCCATCGAAGACTTCAGGTTGTGCTGGAGGCTCTGAAGAGCCTGAGCCAGTCTGTGACTGCTCCTCATTGAATCGAAACAAAAAGCAGCGAGCCAGTTCTGTTAAAAACCAGTGAATCTGCAACAGATCATTCTAAATAAATAAATTCCACCTTGATGCAGCGTGCCTCTCTCTCCTCATCAAGAAGAGGTGGAGGAAGGTCAGATGATGCCCTCAGAATGAAGGGTGGATAGGCCCTTCAGTTAAAAGGAAAGCAGGTTCAGAGAGCCCTTCGTCACTGAATGCAAAGCATACACCTCACCGATCTCTCCAGCAGGCCTGATTCTCAACTGAACACTAGGCTTCCTGCTTGCTCATGTATTACAGGTTAACCTTCCATGGAGAAGGTCAAAGTGCCAGCCCTTCTCTTGGGAAGGCAGGAAAGCTATTAGCCAGGAGCTGAAGCAAAAGGCAAGACACAGAGGGCTCTGTCCTTTTGCTGTGCTGCAGTGCGGAAGCACAAAGCCTTTGGGAACAAGGAAGTGCTGTGCCAGAGGAGACAGATATAGACTCAACCTAGCCAGCAGTGTCACTTCTGTGGAGGTGAGCGTGTGAAGAACAGAGACAACCAGCAGGAGGGTCTATGCTGAAACTTGGTTTGGCTGCTTCCAGCAGCTCTAAGAGGAGCTAGAAAATCCCTGCAGACAGACAGGGGCTGACCCCTCTTTCTCAGACACCATTAGGCAACTGCTCTACAGCACGTCCCTTGTGGACTATAAAGAGAGGCTCTTACTAAGATTTACCTCTTTCTTTATCTTACAAGTGCATTTACCTTTATCACTGGAAAGTCCTAAAACAGCTGGTAAAAACCTGTTACTAGGAACCCTTCAGTAAAAATGTTCTGCCACGGCTGAGTGAAGTCAGGACTGAGTTGCAGACGTTTTTATTTCTTTATGACAAACTGGGGCTACGATGCACATTGCAGCTTTCCACACACAGCTCCGCCAGTGCATCCTCCCTGATATTACAGTGGCTACTCCCATGGTTCTACCCAGACACCTCAATCACCACCAGCAGCACCCCCCATCCTAACCCCGCTTCCCCAGCTATGCCCATGGCACTCAGTCCTCACAGGCAGCATCCTCCATCCTAGCTCTGGGTCCCTACACAGCCAGCGGTGACATGGGGGGGCGACAGAGGGTTACATGCCCCCCGGGAGTGTTGAAGGCATTGTCCTTCTCATGCTGCACCCTACCCCTGGCACATTTCCAGCTTGTGTGGCCCCTCTCCCTGGTAGCCAGGCCTGAGTGGGGAGTGGAGGCAGTAGGATAGAGCCACTTCTCCTGCCAGGTGAGGGTGGCCACTCCAGGTCACTGCCTCTGTGCAGTGCAGCAACTGCCTGCAAGAGCCTGGCTGGGGTGGCAACAGTGGCCCGCGCAGAAGGTTACCCTGCCAGGGCAGGGAGAGCGCAGCAGCCCTGGACCTGGCACTGGGCCACTAGGGAAGACATCAGCAGCAGGTTCCCTGTGCTGACTTAGGGGCATTGCCTGCACCCCTCCCTCTGCTGAAGTGTCTGAGAGGGCCGGGGAACTCCAGGGAGAAACTTTGTTGCTGTGAGTTCCCTGCCCAGGGACGGGGGCTGGCCCATGGGCACGTGTGCCCCACTCCTGCAGCCCCAGCCGCCCAGGAGCCAGCGGGATTGGTTGTCCTGGGCCAAGGAGGTGGGGCTGGAAGGTTCCTGCACCCGGAGTTGATGCATGGGCCCCTCTGAACCTTTACATTGGGCCCCCCCCCATTAACAATTATGGGTCGCCACAGCTCTGCGAATGCCCCTGAATCCTGACCAGCAGCACCCCCCTCATCCTCCCTCCTTCCCCTACAGCTTTGCCAATGCCCCCAATCCTGACCAGCAGCTTCCTGCCTAACCCAGTCCTGTCTTGGGAGACGTTTGGGTACGGACACACATTCTCCGAGCAGAAGAACAAAACGCATTTACAACACTAAAAGATAGGTTGGCACAAAGGTGTCTCAACCCTCTCCACCTTTAGAAGACGATTTATACCTGGGACACGAACTCCGTGCAAGGGGTTAGAAAGTGCCATTCCGATCTCTGTCATCCCGTACCTCTCCAGCAGCGTGTGTCCGGTGATGTTCTTCCACCTCTCCAGGACTGGAACGGGAAGGGCTGCCGATCCTGAAACCATTAACCTGTGCAAGGAAATGCCACGCGGTGAGCATCACCGGCATATTCTTTACCTAGAGAATTACTGCTGTAGTACAAGAAGCCTTTGCCCATCTGTAGTGCCTTGGGGAATCTGACCATTCAGCAGTATCAGAAAGTTACACACACAGACACAGCAGATCCTCCATCACTTGCAGTCTAAGTCAAGACTGGATGCGTTTCTAAAAAGATACCCTCTAGCTCAAAGAGAACGTATGGTTGATATGGAAATTACTGGGTGAGGTTCTTTGGCCTGTGTTATGCAGGAGGTCAGACTAGAGGATCAGAATGAATCGCTCTTGCAAGGGATCATCGTTCCCACTTTTCAGGGTGAGAAATTAAAGCCCGGAGAAGCGAAGTGATTTGCTCAGCTTTGCAGAGTGGCGAAGTTTAGAAAAGAATCCTGCAGGGCCAGGCTTTAAGCAGGCACTCTGCCTGAATAGAACTGCCTACACGTCTGTGCTTTGGAGCCAGGACTGAGAGCCCATACGTGACGGATGGTTTTTAATAAGCAAGAGACAGCCTGCCATTGGCCTGGTCATTGGACGGAAGCAGAACCTGGTACCACAACTCGAGAGAATCCTAGAGAACCTGGAAGCACTACAGGAATGACATCATACAATCCACTGTGCTCACTGCTGGTGCTACCCTCGAGACACTCTGCACACAGCTCAAACTTCTCCATTCCTCCATCACCCGCGCCCAGCCTTCTTCACACCCTCCCCTCGTAACATTTTCCACAGTGTTAGTGAGCCTTCTCCAGCCCAGGAAGGCTGGGACAGCGTGAGCATATCTATTGTAGAGGATGTACTCCCTAGGTCTCGTCTGTAAGCCTCTTAGGCTGTGAAGATGGGCATCTTTGAGCTACCTGAAATTATCCCGGCACGTGGCATGTACAAAATCCTGGACATGAGGCTGAGAGAAATGCCTGTCATAATACTCCACCAGCCTGGAGTAAACAGTGGGGACCGCCATGAAGACGCTGATCCGTGGAGCTCGGGGGCTTAAGAACTTCTCCCAAACCTGGAAAGGAAAGAAGAAAAGACACCTAAATACAAACTATGGAGGAGAATAGCCTTCATGTCACTGCCGCCACTGGCTCTTCCATACCACCTCTGGGAGAAGGCTCACAAGCAAGTACTTTACAAACCCTTCAAATAGCTCTGTGAGCATTCTTTAGTACAATGTAAAGGGAAACTGAGGCAGGGGGAGGGAAAGTGACTTGTCCAATCAGAATGAGTCTATCGAGTGTGGTTTCTTATCTCTAACCCATACTGCTGCCTAATACTTATGAAAATGATGAACCCCCTGCATCCCTGCCATCTTGAACCCAATCTACTGTACAATGATGTCCAAAACCCCCTCCATTCTGACCCCACACCATCAATCAACTTATTCTCAGAAGCACCAGGGGAATCTTGGCAGTGAATCACACCACTGCTTTCACTCTCTCAATCAGCCAATGTGGGATGATGTGTAGAAACTGTAGCTTCCAATAGCCAGCACCTTTTAGAACTGTTAACATGCACATGAAAATAAACATGTATGGCAGAGTCCATCCATTCCTTTAGGAAATACAGCCCTGGACAGTGCTATATGAAGTCACCAGCCTTTCAAAGCTCAGAGATCTTCTTCCTTCTTAAAGGGAAGAAACAGCATATTGACCACTACAATACACAAGGGTCTGAGCCAAAGTACTCGAATCACAGAGAGAAACGCTTGCAATGTGTATATGTGGGGGGAGGGAGAGAGGAGATCTACTTTGCTGAAATGTTTATAAGTTTATAGATTCCAAGGCCAGAAAGCCAAATCCAGTCTTGATTTTAACATGGTCAGTGATGGAGAATCCACCTCATCTCTTAGTAAGTTGTTCCAATGATTAATTACCTCAGTGTTAAAAAATTGCACCTTATTTCTAATCTCAATTTGTCTAGTTTTACCTTCTGGCCATGGGATCTCATTATATCAGGGGTTCTCAAAATGGGGTCGGGACGCCTCAGGGGGTCGTGAGGCTATTGTGTGTGGGTGGATGGGTGGGGGGGGTCACAAGCTGTCAGCCTCCACCCCAAACCCCGCTTTGCCTCCAGCATTTATAATGGTGTTAAATATGTAAAAAAGTGTTTTTAATTGATAAGGGGCGGTTGCACTCAGAGGCTTGCTGTGTGAAAGGGGTCACAAGTACAGAAGTTTGAGAATCGTTGGGTTATATCTTTGTTTGCTAGACTGAAGAGCCCTTTATTACCAAGTTTCTGTTTTCCACGTAGGTATTTATAGACTGTGAAGTCACCCCTTCACCGTCGCTAAAGCTAACTAGATTGAGCTCCTTGAGTCTATCACTCTAAGGCAGGTTTTCCAATCCTTTAACCATTCTCACTGCTCTTCTCTGAGCCCTCTCCAACTTATCAACTCCTTCTTGAATTGTGGACACCAGAACTCAAGACAGGAGTCCATTAGTGGCTGCACCAGTGCCAAAGACAGAGATAATACAACCTCCCTAACCCTAGTCAAGATTCCCCCGTTTATGCATCCAAGGATCACGTTAGTCCTTTTGGCCACAGTGTTGTACTGTCTCATGTTCAGCTGATTATCCACCATGACTTCCAAGTCCTGTTCAGAGTCACTGCTTCCCCATCCTGCAAGTATGGCCTACACTCTTTGTTCCTAGATGTATGACCTTACGTTTAGCATAGTGCAGTGGTTCTCAAACTGTATTTTCTTCCCGGTCATTGATAACAAATATTAAATAGCATAGGGACAAGAACCGATCCCAGCAGACACCACTAGGAACACAGCTGCTCAATTAGGATTTTTCCATTTACAATTACATTTTGAGACCTATCAGTTAGCCAGTTTTTAATACATTTACTGTGTACCGTGTTGTTTTTGGATCATTCTAGTTTCTGAATCAAAGTATCATGCAATTCCAACTCAAATGCCTTACAGAAGTCTAAATATATTATATCACATTACCTTTATCAACCAAACTTGTAATCTCATCATAAAAGATATCAAGTTAATTTGACAGGATCTGTTTTCCATAAATCTATCTTGATTGACATAGCACCCTCTTTTAATTCTTTGTTAATCAAGCCCCTTATCAGCCATTCCATTATTTTGCCCGGGATTGATGTCAGATTGACAGGCCTATGATTTCCTGGGTCATCTGCTTTACCCTTTTAAAATATAGGCACATTACCTTTCTTCCAGTCTTCTTGAACTTCCCCAGAGTTCCAAGACTTATTGAAAAATCAACATTAACTATTCAGAGGGCTCCTTGATCAGCTCTTTTAAAACTCTTGGATGCAAGTTATTCAGATCTGCTAATTTAAAAGTGTCTAGCTTTAGAAGCTGCTCTTTAGCATTCTCCTGTGTTACTGTTGGAATGTAAAGTATTCCATCGTATTATATGACTTCTTCATCCAGCTTTTTTCCAAATACAGCATAGAAATATTTATTGACCTGTTCTGCTTTTTCTGCATTATTAATGACAATTCTACCATTTCCACATATACTTTAAAAATTTCTTACATCCTTAACTCTGTGGTCCATAGATTTTTTTCTTGTCCTTTTGCTTCCTTTATCCATTTTCTACAATTCCTAGCTTCTGATTTAATTAATTACTCTCAACATCCCCTTTCTTCTATTTGTTTTTATATATAATTATTTTTATAGCTACTTTCACTTCTCTACTAAGCCAGGTTGATTTTTAACCACTGTGGCCTTCTTTCTCAGCTGTGGGAGTGTGGCTTTTTGATTACCTAATAAAGTGTTCTTAAACAATTCCAAATTGTCATTCAAATTTTTCTGTTTCAATTCTCTGTCTCAACTGACTTGGCTCAATTGTTTTCAGCTTTGTGAAATGGGCCCTTTTCAATTTTAAATAAGACGTGACCCTCACTGGAAATTAACCTCTGACGACATCACAGGAACATGGTCTTCCTGTATATCCTGACATTCCATTGGTTTGAAAAATATTCCATCAAAGACTTCTACTAAGATGCAGCCACAGTCTAACTGGATGGATGGCTCAGTTTGGGAGCCAGCAGAGGAACCTTTCATTAACCGCATCCCTCCTAAAGAAACACTCAAAAAAAGGACAAAAAGTCTTTGATTACCTGTCCTCCTAATATTTGGAAACTACAAACTGGGGCAAATTCAAGGAGCTGGCTATGGCAATGTGTGAATGACTCAAAGGGCTCTAGGCCTGGCCGAACATCTCCACCTGGGACCGTTTAGAAGTGGTGGAGGAGAGGCCTAAATACTTAAATTTGGCTAACTTTCCCGCCACATTGCTACTCGTCCCCCTTGCTGAGCAATCCCCAACATGGGAGCGGAACAAAGCCATCAATAAATAAAAGGTTGTTGCCAGCTCGGCTTTGGGGACAGCAGGCTCCTTCCCTCCTTTCTGGATTTTGCCCTGTTGTTGATAAATGTATTTCTTAACAGCTCCTGACAACGCATGCCTCCTCTCCCCTCCCTCCCTTGGCATGCTCAGCCGCACAGAGGGGCGTGCGGTGGGGAACAAAAGCGTGAATTGATTGAAGGGGAACAAGTGATTCTCCTTTATGCTGTGACCCTGGATGCCAGTGCTGCTCGGCTGCTTTCCCCTCAGTCCTGCTCTCTGGCTCAATTTCATTACTTTCTACTTCACGAACCCCCTCCGCCCCTAACCCCCCCCCCATCTCTCACTTCGCTGCCTCAGAACAATCTGGTCTGCACAAAAATACATTGTTAATATAACAGGACACGTTTAACAAAGGACTCAGCCCCACTGAACTAAAGGGAGCGTCTTCCCGTGCCAGAGAGCGCTTGGCAGGATGAGTTAGAAATGCACAGGTTAGAAATCCACCAGATACAGTGGAACCTAATCTAAAGGGACCTCCTTCTTTCTGTCGTTACAGGAGTCGGGGCAATAGCACCTGAAAAGCATCAGGGGAAAGCGGAGTGGGAGGAAACCAAATCCATGGAGCAGAGGGAGTGATTCACACCCCGTGTGGGGAAATGTTCCACTCCGTCACTACTGAGTCTTGGGTAAAGGCTCCTCTGCAGCCACCCCATGCCTTTGGGAAGGAGAGAAAACTACCAAGCTCTCCAGATGTGCCCAGCCCAGGGTGTTGCACTGGCGAGTGTGCAAGCCCAGCTCAAGCAATGAGCCGTGGAAGAGGGGCCTTGGGGAAATGTTGAGAGCCAGAAGCGATGGCCACAGTGCTGGGAAGGGCAGCGGGGGCAAGAAAGTACATTTTTCTTCTTCTGGCAGGCTACAGATGGAAAGGGGAGTGACAGGGTGGGGGCCATCGGAAGGAAGAAACACATGTCACAACCCCACGTGTCTCCTACTCCCTGGGCTCAGGTAGCTGCTGCCAGCCCCAAGCTTTGCACTTGGATATTTTATAGCGTGTCCTCCCCTCACTCTGCTCCCTTAGTCCAAGGAGCAGGTCGCAGGAGCGAGGGGCTCTTGGAAGGTCACTGCAGGAAAAGCCAGGCGCCACAGCTCCCCTTCAAACTCTTACTGTGTTACTTACACGTTAATCCGATGAAAGAGCTCGGTTCCTGTTCATCTACAGGGGCCGTCTTTACACGCTCAAGCACGACAAAGTCTTATTATAGATCCCAGGTCATGCTTCCTTCTCAGAAGCTGCTGGGTCCTATGTCCTCCGAACTTAGTCTCGATGCCCCCTTCCCAACCACACAGATCTCTGATCTGTGGGATCCACCACTGCTACTCAGTCAAAAAAATAAAACTAAAACGGTTGAGGAGGATGGATCTGAAAAGCCTCATTACCTGAGGCGATCAATCACTCCTGGGATCTAGAGTCTTGTAAGCTGCCCAGCTTTGCTCCCCCAGCATATGGCATCCTCCGACGCCCTCCAGTTTAGAGCAGTGTAATCAATCTCTCCCTCGCCGTTCTCCCATATGTCACTGTCACCACATCAATTATGGGTGGACAGGACACTGACAACCCCTCGTTTTACTTTATTTCGCTCACCGGAATGATCTGTTCAAACCCTGCAGACGCAAAGTG